CTTAAATGTGATTGGCCAGACTTAGTTACATGACGATAGCCAACAATGAAGGTTAGGCTGGGCGCCTCTTAGCAGAACACATTGTCCAGGATTTTATTACTAAAGATGTAAAACTGGGCATTGAAAGACAATTAGCATGAAAAGCAAGCATCTGAAACAGTCATGTCATAGAAATTCAAGGATGTTTATTGCATTACAACTATACTATATTCACTCAAGCATTTGTATGTGTTAGTGTCTTCTTTCTAGGCAACTTTATGAGTCAGGATGCGAATGAAGGAGAAATGGTGGCAGCCATCCCAAACTTACCTGCCTGTAAACTGAGGGTAGATAGTCAAAAGCAGGAAAGTCAGGAAAGAAAGTTGAATAAATGTTCTGAAGTTGGCCTCAGAAATCAGAGATGGACTGCAGACACTGGGATACCAATAAACTCACATCTGGCTTTAAGAACCCTTTCGTATAGTAAATCTGAGATACAGTGGCAAAAAGGAGTGAGGTTGTGAATAGCAGCTCCCAAGCAAAAAAAAAAAATCTATTTAATGAACATTTATAATGCAAATACTTAATGGGATATGAGGAAATGAGGATGGCCCAGCTCTTTTACTATAATTCATATAGAGAAAGTGTACCACATGAGCAGCAGTAGTGCTTGAATTGATAGTAAGTAGAATTAAAGATGGGAGGAAAACTTACCGGAAAAAGGGAAAAACTATAGCAAATTTGTTTAATTATTATTTTTAACTTCATGTGAAAAATGGTCTTTGCTTCCTGTGCAAAAGCATACATTGTACTAAACGAGTCTGAAAACTAACACATAGTGCAACAGGGTCCATAAATACTCTGGTGTATTTGTTTTCTTCACTCTGCAGTTTTTAACACATGCCTAATATATCGTGTCAGAGTAAAAATTTGATAAGTATAGTTATTCAGAATTTATCGTCGCATTCCTTGGATGGCAGTATTGCTGAGAGTAGTCAAACTGACAGTTAGAAAATATAGAATTCAAAAGGATGGCCATTATTTTACTTTAAGATAGATGCAATTCCACAAAAGGAATTTTATTCTATTTATCAATTAACTTCCGTTGTATTTTGTCTGGCTTTCCTTTTCTTAATTTTTTCAATTTACTTAATGAGACAAATAAATTATAACCCACTTGGCCAGCACCTTTTTTTTTTTTTTTAAAGAAAATAAATGTTTCCTCAACCTACTGGTGATCAGTACGAAGTGGTATGTGTTGTGGTGTTGAAGTTTTATAAATGATACTTTAAATATGCATCCAAATGAATTTTTGGCACCTGAACATGTAGAGGTGATTTTATGACGAAGGTCTGGAGGGCATTTGATTTTGTTTTCCTTAATGTATAGATGACGGGTGAAGTTTAGCAATCCCAGAGAAGAAAAGAGCAAAAAGAAGGTGGCTGTGTGGGCTACAGCTGCTGTGTAAGAGGGGAAGAGCCTACCTAGAATCATGGAGAAGCAGTGAATTCACAGAAATCCAGAGGGAAGAGTTTTGAGGCAGAGGGAGTGATCAATATTGGTCAAAGAGCAGCACAGAGGTTAAGTAAAGCAAAAACTGGAGAATTAGGAAGCCAGGAGAAAATGTGTCATCTTAACTGAACTGACATGCCGCTGGCTGAAACCAGGCATGTTCCAGTAAGTAAACAAATGCAAAGAAGTATGAGTCATAGAATACACAGGACTCCCCAAGAAGCCTTCATGGCAAGGGAAGGAAGTGAGGCAATACTGGGTCCATTAAGGCTAATATACACCTGCGCTCTGCAGTATGACAGCCAGTGGCTATAGAGCTATTGAGCACTTCAAATGGAGCTTCTGTGAATTGTGCTATGCGTGTAACATTTATACTGGATTTCAAAGACTCAGTATGAAAAAATAGAATATAAAGAATCTCATTGAAATTTTTATACTGATTATATGTTGAAATGATTATTTGGATATTGCTGATGAAATATAACATATTATTAACTTCACCTGTATCTTTTTATTTTATAATATTGTTACTAAGATTTTTCAAAATGTATTTATGGCTTGCATTTGTGGTTCAGTATATTCTACTGGACAGTCAGTGCAGTATATACTCTGACTTCAATGTGCCATCTCAATTTTTGACAATAACATGTGAGGGGAAATCAGAAGACTTTCTAAAAACTACAATTTTTTCCTACATTAACTTAGAAATGTAATTTGTTATAATAGAAAGAACATGGACTCCTGGCTCCAGCTCTGCTTCTAAATAGCTACATGGCCCTGGGCAAGTTATTTAACTTCTATGAGCCTTGATTTCCTCATCCATAAAATGAGAATCATAATACTCACCACACAGGATAATTGTGAGGATTAAATGTGAATATAAAGGACTTTGCAGAGTGCCTGCCACATAATTTGCGCTTAATAAATGTTAGTTACCTTCTTTCCTTGCTGTGTGACCCATAATTCTGTTAAAAGAGACAGAATTGGTCGATAGAACGTAAACCTCAAAATTAGAAGAGGATGGAGGGACAGGATAAGAATATGAATCAAGGTCATTGACCTTCCATATAAGAAAATCAAAACCTTCTCAAGACTAAAAACAGCTGACAAACTTAGCTTCTTTAGAAGGGCAAAGCAAGAACTTTACTTCAAATACAGAAATACATACATATGTATGTACTTATATGCATATATACACACGCATGCATATACATGTGCACATATATGTGTGTGTATATATATCAAATAATATTCCTCAGTGGGCCACATGAAACTGTGCATATGAAACAATTTTATAAACTAGAATACACTATTTAAATATTAATTCTGGTGTTATTATTCCTATTCTATAAAATATCATTTATTTGAAAGTGACAAATGGAGAGAAACAGAGTCACTTGGAGTGGGAGATGGTGGTGGTGGAAGTTAAAGGTTGAAATGATGCTGAAAAAAGAGAAAGACATTGACAAGATGGAAAGAATTTGCCAAAAGTCAAACTAGGAAACATACATCGAGCTACCATAGGCTGCCCACAATTTTCTTCCTTCTCATCCTTGACCCGTCCTTCTATCCTCTTCTAATTTTGAGGCTTATGCTATATTCACATGTAATGCTCACAATTACCCCGTGTAGTGAGTGTTATGATTCTCATTTTATGGATGAGGAAATCGAGGCTCACAGAAGTTAAATAACTTGCTCAGGGTCATGTAGCAATTTAGTAGCTTCTCAGCCTTGACCTGCCTCCTACATTGGAATGGTCCTTCCCACTCCTTCTTCATTTTAGAATCTCTAATACCTATCTTTTGCCTGTAGCAAAAATCACAGTTCCCTGTCAGATTTCAACTTTGTCTCCTTATCTCATGTCTCCACCTAGCCTTGACTCCTTTCCTGCTTCCTTCTCTTTTCCTCTCTCTGCTTTTGCCTGGAACTACTGGACTTCATGCTCTACCACCATTAACAATATCTTCCTTCCCTCTCCCAGCCTCAACACATTCATCTGGGCATCCCACTTACACTTAAATGCTGCTGCAAATTAAGAAATAGACACAAGGATTTATGATACAGCTGTGGTATGTTGTCATTTCATCTGAACTTAGAAACATGCATTCAAATTTTACCTACAAAATTATCTAACATTGAATATCTACTGGTGGAAATAGGGTGGATCAGATTATTCCTTTAAAAAAATGAATTCAGTTGGGTGAAGTGGTTCACACCTGTAATCCTAGCACTCTGGAAGGCCGAGGCAGGTGGATCACCTGAGGTCAGGAGTTCAAGACTACCCTGGTCAATGTAGTGAAACCCCATCTCTACTAAAAATACAAAAAAAAAAAAAAAAAAAAAATTGGCTGAGCATGGTGGCACATGCCTGTAATCCCAGCTACTTGGGAGGCTGAGGCAGGAGAATTGCTTGAACCCAGGAGGCGGAGGTTGGAGTGAGCTGAGATCATGCTACTGCACTCCAGCCTTAAAAATACAGCAAGATTCCGCCTCAAAAAAAAAAAAAAAAAAAAGAAATCTAGTTTATACTACTATTATGAACAAAGTTGTGTTTTTAAAATGATGTGCTTAGAGTTGCAAATGTGAAGAATTTTGTATCACTTAGTAAACTTTGTGTTGCATGTGATAGAAAATCCAACTCAAACCAGCCTAAACAGTAAAAGTGATTTATTAGGTCACATAAGACAGCAGTCCAGGGATTGGTTAGGCTTTGTTCAATGTTCTAGTGATAAAATTAGAGCCCAGTTTCTTCATGTACATTTCATTTCTTTATCTGGGTTTCATTTTGAGGTACTTCTCTCTACCTGCCCCCAGAATTCTACCAAGAGGTCTCAGGGCTAAAACTTTTCTGGTTGGAGTGCATAAAAGAACAGCAAAATTTTGTTTTTATATATCCCAGTAAAAGTCACAGTATATCTTACGTATTTTGATTGGTCACATGTATAGCTTTATACTTCTCACTGTATTCAGGAAAATGGTCCAGATTGGTTGACTTAGAACTATCTCATCAGACTGAGGACCAGGAGTGTGAGAAAAATTGATCCTCAGGAGAAAGACTGAAATGCATGTAGGCAGGGAAGACTAATGTTTCTTAAGAAATAAACAACAGTCAAAATCCATTAAAACCCCTCTCAAGGATAATATTCCATGACTCTAGAGGACTTAATGAATGTGACATGTATAGAGTTCTGATAAGCAGTTTGTATTATATGGGTCAGAGAAATTTCCTGGTCATAGGACTTTTCTTTAAAGTGAAATATAAATAGGCCAGGCACGGTGGCTCACCCCTGTAATCCCAGCACTTTGGGAGGTCGAGGTGAGTGGATTACTTAAGGTCAAAAGTTTGAGACCAGCCTGACCAATATGGTGAAACCCTGTCTTCACAAAAAATACAAAAATTAGCAGGATGTGGTGGCACATTCCTATAGTTTCAGCTACTCAGAAGGCTGAGGTGGGAGAATTGCTTGAACCCAGGAAGTGAAGGCTGCAGTGAGCAAAGATCAGGCCACTGCACTCCAGCATGGCAACAGAGTGAGACCTCACACACACAAAAAAAAGTAAATTAAATAACGTAAATAATGTGTCTAAATTGTCTAGCACAATAAGTAGAACAAAGTATGAACATTTATCTTATTAGTAGGTTGATTTAAAGAACTTCAAAAATAAAATGTAAGCTAACAGTTCTCTTAACAAGGGCTTTTGTAAACAAATAGAATTGGCTCCCCTTACTATCTTTATCCTTGTTTTTATAATTTTTTGTATCTTATTTAAGTTGGTCTAAATTATTCCAACAATTTAGACAATGCCAAAATTTAATCAATTGTACCATGTGAAGTTGGAAATTAGTCATTCAATTTAATTCACTTCTTCTTTCTCTCAGAGAGAGAAAGAAAGGGAGTGAGGGAGGGAGAGAGGGAGGGAAAAGAGAGAGATTGAGTCAGAAAGAAAGAGGAATAGTTCTACTTATCAAGCACTCTACTAGGTATTAGACATACGATTTCAGAAATCTAATTACAATTGGAGTTGATGTTTCAGAAAAGAAAGTTTGCCTACTTCTTGTGTATTTTTTTCATTGCCACAGCAAGCTTACAAAGGCTTACAAAAAATAATAATTTTAGTAGCAGCATGCTTGTGTCCTGATAAGCCCCAAATATATTCTGTGAGCCACATAGTTTTACTTAAAACAATCTTTAGAGAGAGGGGAAAAGAGGAAGTTTATAATTGAATTTTCTCTTACATGTTTAAAATGTATTATTTAGAAAATATTCCATGTAATAAAAAAATTGACTTCACCAAAACTCTCCCAAGATATTTAAAAATGTCCCTTTACAAAGGACTAGCAGTATTGCATTCAAGCTAAAGGGAAGAAGGCAGTAGGTGGAGGTGGGGGGAGGGCGCCTGCATAGTGCAGCTGCGACTTTGCTGTTACTGCACCATCGGCTGCTACTCCACCTTCTGATACAAACTAGCTAAGACCTTTATCCAGGTTCAAGGAGATCGCAACACTTACATTTTGACAGTGCTCTTCAAGCCATTCACTCATCTTCCAAGAACTATTTTCTGTGCACACTTTTTGCCAAGCACTTCTCTAGAGCACAGTAGTTAATATGTGAGACGAAAATTTAGGAACTTCGTATTTGGAGAGAGACAGGGTAATTACACACAATAAGCAAGATGAATAAGTAAATTCTATGTTATTAGTTAAGAATTCAAAGCCAAAAAAATGAGAGGCGGAAGTTGGAGTGTGTAGGCCAGGTTATGTTGCAGTATTAGATAGACTACACAAGCAAAACTGAAGGGTGACTTACGAGTACAGATGGAAAATCAGCAAGTGGGCAAGTAACAGAGGTTTCCGGGGGGGAGCATTTCAGGTACAACAGCCCTAGCAAATGTAAGGTTGATTCTCTGTAAGGTTTATTGCTGAATTTAAAATGAGGAAACTGAGGCCTGCATGAGAACAATTAGATGCCAGTTTATTCGGCTCCTGGGCGAGGTTCTACGGTCCAGGGAAAGGGGGCCAGAGAAGTTGCGCCTGACTCCTCTCAGGTGTGGGGTTACATAGGGAGGGAAGGCACTCTGATTGGCTGTGGAGGAACAGGACGTGGACATGGCAAGCTGCTACAGGTAGGTAGGCGGGATTTCCGGTGGGCAGGCTGGACAGGGCAATGCGCTATTGGGCAGGGTTTGGAGGGGCTTCTTTTAAATTTTGGTGGGGTTCTTCAACAGCTGGCTAGGTGCTGAGTGCAGAGTTTAGTGATGAGTGCAGATCCTGGTGCTGAGTGCAGAGGGGATTTCCAACGGCGGGCTAGGTGCCGAGTGCAGAGTTTAGTGTTGAGTGCAGAGGTGGGCTTGGCGAAGCTAGATGCTGAGTGGTGACATAATTTTCAGGTGTGGAGAGGGATGGGCGTGTCGGAGCTCCCTGTGAGGCAACCAGCCTTATAGCAAAGATCATGACTTGGGAGTTCCGGAGCATGGAGGCCAGTGTGGTTGGAGTCTAGTGAGACAAAAATTGGAAGGAAGATCAAGAAGGAATGGGTGGGTGGGGAGATCATCTAGGACTTGGCATGACTTGTCTTGTCTTGTGCCCTGACATGACATGACTCAGATTGTCTCAGCTTGGATTGATTGACATGCCTTGACTTGACTTATCCTAGCTTGACTTGAATTTACTTGACATAATTTTCCATTGAAGAGTCTTATAAAGGTTTAGCTTTTACTCTGAGTGAGATGAGAGTTTTAGGGTTTTGAACAGAAGAGTGACTTGACCTTAATGTGAATTAAATAGACTCCCTGTGGCTGCCTTGTGAGAAAAATAGGAGAGGTTTATACTGGAATGTTAGCAATAGAGGCGATAGGAGGTGATATTCTGGATATACAAATTTTTAAAATAGAGACAAAGGATTTGCTAATGGACCAGATATGAGATATCACAACAAGAGAGAAGGCAAGAATGACTTCAAGATTTTTTGTCAGAGCAGCTTTTGATACAGAGTTGTCTTTTACTGAAATGGGAAAGGCTGTGTAAGTGTACATTAGGAGAGGGGAAATGGTTACACATTTGTTTTTGATAATGTTAAATTTGAGGTGTTTATTGAACAGTCACGAACTGTGGGAATATGAGTTTGACATAAATGGAAAATGGACTGGCTGGAGATTTACATTTGAGAATTATCTGCTTGTAGATGGTATGTGAAGCTATGAGAATTGATGAAATATCCAATAAAACAGTAAAGGGAGATAAAGGCAGGTGGTGGTGGGAGGAGGAGGAAAGGGATGGGAAGATAAGAAGCAAAGGAACCTACAGTGAAATGCTATTCTGAGGTCCTGGAAGTCAGCCGAAGGGGATATTGAATCTGGAACAGGCTTGTCCAACCCATGGCCCACAGGCCACATGCAGCCTGGGACAACTTCGAATGCAGCCCAACACAAATTCATAAATTTTCCTTTTTTTTTTTTTTCTTTGAGACAGAGTTTTGCTCTTGTTGCCCTGGCTGGAGTATAGTGGGGCAATCTCGGTTCACCACAACCTTTGCCTCCTGGGTTCAAGCAGTTCTCCTGCCTCAGCCTCCTGAGTGGCTGGGATCACAGGCATGTGCCACCACGCCTAATTTTTTGTTTGTTTTATTTGGTTTTAATAGGGATGGAGGTTTCTCCATTTTGGTCAGGCTAGTCTCAAACTCCTGACCTCAGGTGATCCATCTGCCTCGGCCTCCCAAAGTGTTGGGATTACAGGCATGAGCCACCATGCTTGTCCCACAAATTAATAAATTTTCTTAAAACACCATGAGAATTTTTTGGCGATTTATTTTGAGCTCATCAGCTATTATTAGTGTTAGTATATTTTATGTGTGGCCCAAGACAATTCTTCCAACGTGGTCCAGGGAAGCCAAAAGATTGGACATCCCTGATCTAGAGGCCTGACCTAATTCAAATGCTGGTGTTAGACTGTATGAGATGGGACCTGAGAATTGATGATTGGCAAGATAGGGGTCATTGGTGATCTTTTATGAGCAGTTTTGATGGTAAAGGAAAATTGTAATTGGAGAGAGGCCAGGAAAATATTCAAGTAGGAAAATTGAAAATTGTGATCAGAAGAATTTGTTGGGGGTGGTTTTATTGTAAAGAGAGAAATAAAAACAGGACAAGTACCTGAAGTGGGGAGTGAAATGGAGAGGGGTGTGTGTGTGTGTGTGTTTTAAAGTGAAGGAATATGGGAATACTTCTTCTTGTAATAATGATCAGATAACAAAGAGGTAAATGTAGTACTGCTGTAGAAAGGCAAGAATATCAGTTGAAGTGATTGGTCTCAACTAGGGTCACAATTTGCTCAGTGATACATTTAACTTGATATAGGGTCAAAGGTACAAATGAATAGATAAATGTTCTGTGGAATGTTTGGGAATTCTTTTCTGGTTGGTTCCTTTATTCCAGTGAAATTGGAAACAAGAACACCAGCTTGATTTGCTAATGACTTCCTTCCCATCTGTTCTCTGCTTCACCAACTCCCTCTTTAATACTTACCTAATAATTTAGTTTATTACCCTTCTGAGGCTCAAAGATTCATCCCTGAATTAAATACATAGGAATTTCCTAGAATATTTGTTAAAATGCAGGTCCCTGGATCCCAGGCATTCCAAATTATTTCCAGGTAGGAGAGTTCAGGAATAGGAATGTTTAGCAAGCTTTCCTGGTGACTCTGATGCACACTAAATTTTGAACACCCACTTCCCTTTCCCTCTTTTAGTTGCTTCAATAATAAATGTTTTATGTTCTTTCATCCCTCCATGGATTGATGTATATTTATAATACTTTCATCTGTACTTAGTAGAGAATTTTGTACACAAAAATGCATTTGAATATTTAACACTTATGTAGATTTGTGTTTCTTTCTTTCTTTTTTTTTTTTTTTGAGGCAGAGTCTCCCTCTGTCTCCCAGGCTGGAGTGCTGTGGCATGATCTCAGCTAGCTGCAATCTCTGCCTCTCAGGTTCAAGCAATTCTTCTACCTCAGCTTCCTGAGTAGCTGGGACTACAGACTTGTGCCACCACACCCGGCTAATTTTATTTTTTTGGTAGAAATAAGGTTTTACCATGTTGTCCAGGCTGGTCTTGAACTCCTGATCTCAGATTACCTGCCTGCCTTGGCCTCACAAATTGTTGGGATTACAGGTGTGAGCCACCATGCCTGGCTTGATGCAGATATTTTTCTAATCATAGTCTTTCCTGATTACATTTGAGAGAGACTAAAGAAACATCTCCATAGTGATGAGCACAAGCTTACATAAGGGATTTTTTTTCTAGATACTAAACATCAAAACAATGAAAGACCTGATAAGTTAAATTTTATGTCATAGTTTAATCATGCTGTCACAGCAGCATGCAAACTAAATGCTTAAAGACAGATTATATTCCGTGTCTAGTGAAACTAAGTTTTCACTAGTGTTTAGTGTTCTTCTGAACACTGTTCTCCTTCAGTGTTGTCACTGAAGCTTTCCAATAAAAGAAGTTCATGTCTCATGCTATGTATGCTGAGTCTTTAAGAAATGTTCAATAACAGAAAATTGAATGGAATAACTCTACATATTTTAATTTAAAAGCACACCTCTAAATCCAATACATATATTTTAAATGTCACCATAGGAAATTTAAGGATTAAATTAAATTTCAGCCAAAACAGAAACAAAAACAGAATCTCTAAACTAGTTTCTTCCTGCAACACAAATCTTGAAAGATTTATCTATCTGTATTGCCTTTATTCTTCTTCCATTCTACATGTTATAATCTCTGTAATAATCAGAGTTTATATCACACATGTTGAGACTGTTAGGTAAAAGAAAAAATACATTAGAATTGAATTAAGCCAGGCAGCAAAGAAAAACATTTACAAAATACAAGTGATTATCACAAGAAAATTGTACTGCAAATACCATTATATATATCTTTGGGGACATACCTTCAGTATATTTAAAGATAGAAGAATGTAGAAGAGAGAACAAAGAGGAGAGGTTAGAATGAAATAATTTTAACTGAGGCTTTGTTTTTCTTTTCCAGTGAATAATTTTGTTTTTTAATCAGGGTAAAGTTTTAAAAACTTTGAATTAATTCTGAGGTTATTAGTATTCTAGACAATTTTCAAAGATATTGTAAAGCATTTATTTCTCACTGCTGTTTCTACTCTTCTCTGATTTAATGTAACCCTTAAAAAAAAAAAGAAAAGAAATGATTATTACCATACAGCTGACTTGTCTAACCTCTGAGAGTAATTCTTCACATACTTAGTAAATGCCCAACAGAAATGAGATCAGGTAGAAATAATTCAAATTGTTCTTACTTGCTTAATAATTTCTTTAAGTCATGTTCTTTGTATTATGATTCCAGAAATATGTTTCCAAATTACTTTAAGCAATTAGAGGTTTAGTGTTCACCTGTCTCAATAGATATGCCCCTATTTTTTTATTTGTTTGTGGACATGAATACCTTTCTGCCAGTTGAAGAGGGAGTTGAAATTACAGCACCAGCAGGCAATTTCTTGGACAAATTAGTATTTGGGCCACTAATTTGGAGTCAGGGAAGAATGTTTATTGCACTATTGAACTCACTCATGCTTCCATAGCCAAAGATTGCACAGGAGGCCACTGTCCTGGGAAACACTCCAAGAGAAGCTATACACCTTCTGTTTTGAGTCACTTGTCTCTGTACTGAGAACACATGTTGGTGTTCAAAGAGAAAGAGCAGAATCTATTTCATAAGAGCAGTGGGAAAATTTAGCTACATGTGTTGGCAACGTCAATATTTCCATGACAATGTCTGTATGAAACATAACAGTTTGTCTATTTCCTATTAAAATCATTTCAATATTATTTTATAATGCTAAACACTATTTTTTCACATACACAGCATTCAATAAATATAGTAATACAATTTTATCTCACATGCCATCCTGAAGTGGACCCATTTTCTTTCATCTGACTCATAACCAGGTTCCAATCCCAGCTTCCCAGAGATAATGGGTATAATTTGAAAAAAACTATTTAGCCTTATTTTTCTGTAGGAATGTGAGACCAAACTCAGCAATTTCTATGCCGGTTAAAGAGGGAAAGACTGAACTGGCCTTACAGCCATATTTCCTTTCATATTTCACAGTAAGGGAATTTCTAATCTTCAATTTAAAATAATAATATTCCAAAGTTGTTTCAATAAAATGTTTACCCAGGTATTGACTATACTGATAGTTTAACGCTGTAAAGAATCCCAATAGGAGGAGACTTTGGCTTTCAAATCTCTTATAATGTAATGTTCCATTCCAGCCTGCATTCTTTTAACCAGAAAGCAATATCTAGGTTAAGAATCTAGGATTTCCACTTGAAACCAAGAGTCAGAGGTCGCAGTGAGCCACCACTGCACTCTAGCCTGGATGACAAAGCAAGACTCTGCCTCAAAAATGATGATGGTAATAATAGTAACAATAATAATCATTGCTGAATCTGTGTGAATCTGTTTTGAAACAAGGTGAAAATGAGGGTGGAGATTTAAACAGGGCTTAATCTCCTCTCTGGATTAGTAATGTAAACCAAAAATAAGCCCCTCAACTGACTGAATGGACCCTGTTCTTGGCCAATGGGATCCCAAAGAAACCTGAAAAACTGGTTTAGGCCATGATGGGAAGGGTGGTGTCAGGTCAGACAAGTCTTATTGTACCCTCCTTCCTTTGGAGTTTAGACACAACTGACCAGCATTATTAACATTAAAACAGAGATCTTTTTTTTCTTCCTTTTTTTTTTTTTTTTTTTTGTATTTTTTTAGTGGAGATGGGGTTTCACCATGTTGGCCAGGCTGGACTCAAACTCCTGACCTCAGGTGATCCGTCCACCTTGGCCTCCCTAA